TGTCCTAGAGTGGTTTTCCATTACTCATTACCCGTCAAAATAAATCAACTAGTAAGAGGAGTAGAATCCCAACAATTCGATTTGTGAGCTCTCTATATTATCATTATTATTTTTTTTTTCTGTCAAACACCGTAAATGCAACTCAATCACACCTCATTCCATACCCAATCATTCAATAAATAACTCCGCTATCCCCATACATCCCAAACAATAGTCAACTCTCAAAATAAACAAATAAACCGACGACAAGAAAAAGGCTTAAGGCTCAAACGGGCTACTAGTGAAAAATATTTTTAAGGACAAAGAACAAGGCCAAAACGAGCTAAATTCAAGAACCGCCTAAATCATTTTTAAAGCTCATAATCACCAATGCATTTTTTCGAATTCAGAATCAAGGAAAATTCTAATAACTTAGGCGTTCAATTGACACACATAGACAAGGAATAAAGGCTCAAGTCTCACTAGGCTCATTATATCATTAATTCAAGGTTCACATGTATTTTCATCTAAGCATGACTTTTACAATCCCATCACAATTCCTCAATCACATCAAATCACCATTCACTATTCAAGTTTTATCCATCATTCAGCCAAAGCAAAAGAAATACACAAGGAATCGACTCAAGCAAATTATTATTATATCCTAATAAAATAAGTAAACGTGCATCCTAAAAATTAAAATAGCATAAAACAAAAAAAATCATAAAAAATTAAAACTAACGCAAGCAAATATATGATATGCAATAAAGCGATAAAAACTCAAGATATACGATACTTTTCTCCCCCAAACTTATTCTTTGGAAAAGAATTAAGTTTGAAGAAAATAAATGGTATATCCCAAGCAACTAACCGATAAATCGAGCGAGCTCCACCGTAAGCAATCCTTGCACCCTTGAGCACGATCATCTCCTTCATGCTTCACTCGAACACTCGATCACCACCATTTTTTATTTATTTATTTTCTTTTCACTTTTTTTTTCCTTTTCCAGATTTATTTTAAAATAATAATAATAATAATAAAAAATAAAACGAAAATAAAATAAAAAAATAAAAAATAATAAAAATAAAAGCGATCTACGATGGGTTGCCTCCCAACAAGCGCTTAATTTAACGTCTTTAGCTAGACGTCTTCCGGGCTCTCAATAAGGGTCATTCCCGTTCATTCCAATCTCCTCCTTGATCTTTTCATGGCGTCGGCTACCTCCTTTTGGCTCTTGAACTTTCCAACCACGAGCAAGGGTAAAAGTTCGATATTCATCATAGGCTCGAAACGTGATCTCACCAAGCTCCATGTCAATAAGTACCCGTCCGGTGGCTAGGAATGGCCTTCCTAAAATCAACGGTGTATCACCGTTATCCTTCATATCTACCACCACAAAATCCGTCGGAAACTTAATTCCATCAACCGTCAACCAAACATCCTCTACAATTCCCGTGGGACAAACTTGGGATTTATCCGCCATCTGAAGTGTGATCATGGTCGGTTAAAGCTTCTCCAATCTCAACTTCTTAAAAACCGAGAGTGGCATTAAGTTGACACCTGCCCCTAAGTCGCGTAGTCCTTTCATGGTATATGATTCTCCAACTCCACAATCGATATAAAATCCACCGGGATCTTCGCACTTAACGGTACGGTCTCTTAGTAGTAGTGCACTACTCTCCTCCTTGAGTGTAACCATCTCATGAGCCTCAACCGGGCTCGCCTTCTTCTCGTCTGAATAGGCCACAACCGTCTCAGCTATTGGTTCCTTTTCTTCTTGCTCATGCACCTCGTTCACCTCAGTCGGGACTTCACCTATCATCTCTTGGTCTTGCTGTCTCTCAATCACCGTGGCCAACTGCCCAATTTGCTGCCTAATCGACTTCACTCTATCCTCAATCGAAGCAAGACGTGCGTCATTTAATTCCATATATTTTTCCGTTCTACTCATGACCCTGGCGAACGTATCCTTTAATGACTCCTTCTTCGGTTCGTCCATGAATTTTTGTGTCTGAGTCATAAATGTTTCCGTGGTACTCATGAATGAGGCGAACGCTTCTTCGAGTGACGACTTCTTCGGCTTATTGATGACCCCATTGGTCACCGAAAATCCCATTGGCGGTTGTAGAGCATTGTATGGATCGGTGTACGAGAAATTAGGATAATTCTGGTTTCCCGAATAGTACGTGTTACCTCTTTGATATCCCCAGAAATTATTGTAATTCCGGTCATGCAAATAATTCACGTTCTGGACGGGTTCATACATTGACACCGCATTCACCCCGATATTCTCGTTCTTCACCCCTTGCATGTCGTTAAGCACCAATGTGGCTATTTGAGCCGCCAACTCCGAAATTTGGTTTGTATTGATAGTCGTCGACACTCTATTAAATATCGTATGCTCCACCGGCCATTGGTAGCTATTAAACGCCATCTCGCAAGAAAGAAAGAAAAATAAGAAAATATTCGAAAAGATAAAAATAAAAATAAAATAAAATAAAAAATAATAAAATAAAAATGTCTAAACTGATCTCTATTCGTCTTCACTAATATTAATTAATTCAACAAACAATCCCCAGCAACGGCACCAAAAACTTGTACGCTAATTATTTTCGCTATCCGCAAGTGTACGGAGTATCTATAGGTAGTGGCGAGCAAGGTCGTATTCCACAGAGATTGTAGTCAAATTAATTAAGTACTAAAATAGTGACGATTAAATATTATCTAGACTAATGAATTGGATGATGAGTATTAACTAATAAATTAAACTAAAACTAATTTACCTAATAAAATAAAAATAAAATAAGATACAAAAGATAAATTCTAGGCTAAGCGTTTCTCGAAATTAATCCATAAAACGTTTATATTCAAACAAACCTTATTTAATTTTACCAATCGTAGAGATAATCGCTAAATTGATTTCAAACCTTTCTCTCGAACAAGTTAAATCGTAGATATTAATTGTTATCCATCTCCCCTCGGTCTCAAGATGAACAACTAACGCCCATAAGTTCCTAGGATTTTCGTTCTCTCGCAAGGTCCTATCAACCTCTCGGTCTGTTTATTCTCTTACGTTATAAATCTCCCAATTCTAGCAATCAACTATAGCCTCTCGGTGTCAAATCGATCACAACTATGCATTCATAGTGGCCATCTACTCACACAATAATAATAAGCACAAGAAATTTATAAACGAAAGATAAACCGGAATGAAATAAATAAAAATTAAATCATAAATTAATCCGAGTACTAACAAATCCTAGAATCTAAAAGGTTTAGCTACTAACATATTCTCAAAACTCAAAATAAATAAATTCATGAGTTCAATGAAGAAGAAAAAGAGAAAAGAAAGAAGAACTATTGTCGCCGTTAGTTCTAGAATCTTCAATCTTGACTTCCTCGAATCCCTCGTGTGTTTCGTGCTTTCTCTGGGCCTCCAATGGTGTAAAAAGTCCCCAAAAATGAGTTCCTAAGGTCTGTTTTATATTGTAGGGTGAATCTAGGTCGAAAAAGGGAAGAAATCGCGTAAGAATCCTATTCCCCGCTGAACTGATCTGCGCGTCACACGAGTCGTGTCACATGCCACACGACTCGTATGACTTTTCTCCACATTTCGGCGAACTTCCAGACTCATACGACCACTCACACGATCGGGTCACACGAGTCGTGTGAGGTCACATGACCCGTGTCACTACCCACACGACCCGTGTGAAAAAGCCGTAGCTGCGTCTCTTATTTTCCTGACCCACACGACTCGTGTCACCATCCACACGAGTCGTGTGACTTCAACTGCACCCTGTTTTCGCCGTTTTTCATCCCGATTCCATTTTTAACGCTTTTTCGAGCATATTTCTTGCAAAACCAACGACAAAAAATACCTCTATCATAGATTAATAAATCAAACTAAATGGTGCACAATCAAACGATAACCAATGCCTAATATCACAATATATCACTCATAATGCATGAAAATATGATGAATGTCAGTTACTTTTATATATATTTATAAGACAAAAATACTCTATATAATTTATAAAAATTTTAAAATTATTTATCCGGTTCAACAATTGACCCAGTGACCCGACGGTTGAACCGGTGAACCGAGGACCTTCCCGGGTCGATTACCGGGCCGAGATTAAAAACTATGCTCGTATGGCTAGGTCCAGTCCCTCTAATGATATTTGATCTATACAACGGGAAAATTTCAAAACTAGTCCCACAGGTATAGGGGGGTGACAATTTTGGTCCCGATAGAATGCAGAAAATATGAATAGTCCCACAACTTTTAAAAAATGATCAAAAGTAGGACTTTTTCGCCGGATTTACTATTTCCGGCCCGGAACGCCACGTGGCATCCGACGTGTTCATATTTTTTTACAAGTTGTGGGATAGTTTTGAATTTTCTGCATTCCATCGGGACCAAAAATGTCACTCCTCTATACTTGTGGGACTAGTTTTGAATTTTTCCCTATCTAGGAAAAAATTCAAAACTAAGCCACGTGTGCCCCATGTGTGCGCCAGCGTGTAAAAAATAAGCCACGTGTGCGCCACGTGGCGTTCCGGGCCGGAAATAGTAAATCCGGCGAAAAAGTCCTACTTTTGAACATTTTTTAAAAGCTGTGGGACTATTCATATTTTGTGCATTCCGTCGGGACCAAAATTGTCACCCCACTATATCTGTGGGACTAATTTTGAATTTTTCCCTCTATACAACTTATGACATTAAACATATATTATGTAATGAATGAATAATATGATAAATAATCTTCATTATATCTAACTACACTTAGTGTTGACAAAAAAATGTTTTGTATAAGCTAATTGGAGGTAACAAGTTAAATTATAGAGAAATAGGGCGGTAAAGCATGAGTGCTTCCCTGAAATGTCATAATATAAATTATAACCTGAATATTAATCAGGATTACGTTGGAGTAAATATTATGATAACATTGTGTGTGTGTCTGGGTATGAAACAGTACTTAATGGAAGTCTATATATATGGGGACATTGAACAAACAAGAACCTCATCAGTTTAGGCAGTTTTAACATATTATTAGATATGGCCACCTTTTTCCCTATTCATGTTCTCATCCTCCTCTTTTCAGGTTTGTACTTGTAATATGATCTTT